TTAGTTGTCGAAACGACTTAAGAGCTATAGAGCCAGTAAGTAATAGTCTGATTTTCAGACCGTTGTATCGAATGGTGGGTTATTGATGTAGACAAATGCTCATGTACCCTTTACAGTTCTTTTATGTATGTTATTACAAAGAAGAAGAAAGCCAGTCAATCACTCAATAGTGTCTGACAGTGAACTTGCAAGTAAACAGGTTTCCTTGCATATATCAATATTAGGACACTGCTAACGTTTAAATTTTACAGATAGGACATACATTACATGACATATTCATAATTCCTGCAAAGTTCTACAGAATTTGATGTTGGCTGCAAAAGGGAAACAGTATCTTTAAGACAGGAATTTGTTATACATATTTGTTGTTTATTTTTATTATTGGTGTGTTCTATCTCTTTTGAAGATTCGACAGATTAAAGTTATGTAAAATTTGTGAACTTTGTTTCAAAAAATATTTGTTTACTTATTTATCTTTAAAAAAAATAGCTTTAACGACTTGCACTCATCGGTAAATGTTTCTTTGTCTGAAGCTATTTATCCCATGTTATTCGCTTGTTATGCTTTATAATTCATTGAAATAACCGTATATAACATATTGCAATTAGTATGGGCCTCAGCGCCAAAACTAAAATTAACTCTATTTATTTATTGCAAAAGAAAGCCTTTCGTTTATTTACTGGTTTCACCATATTTGTCTCACACAAGTCCAATATTTTACACAAACTGAAAATCCTAATAGTATTCCACATAAATTCGCTACAAAGTTAACTGATCTGTTTAAGTATTTAATAATATGGCCCCCTCTTTCATTTCAATACTGTTACACTATTTATGAATAAAGCCATTTACTCTATACCCTACCCGTAATTCCTCCTCAATTTTCATCTATTAAATTACTTATTGCCCATAGATCCATAAGACACCATGGTCATGACCTATGGAACTCTCTCCCAGAATCTATTAAATCATGTTGCTCCCTCTACTTACTTAAGGCCAAAGTTAAAACAATGTTATTATCAGAATATTCAAGGTAAAATCTCTGTGTAAACTCTTTAGTCTTTATTATAATGTCATTTCCTCTTTTAGTCGAATCATTATCATCATCATCATCGTCATCATCATCATCATCATCATCATCAAATTTGTATTTTCAATTACCTATCCGTTTCTGCCTAATAACCGTGTGAATCTATTTCATGAGTTTGGTCTGGGGCTGTCGTATTATCAAGCAATCTGCTTACAATGACAGTCCTTCTTCCGCAAAAAATGTATAATGTGTAAAAATGTTTGAGGAAATTTAATATTAATGACAGTTTATCATTTCGATTTGAAAATAACAATGTATATATATATATATATATATATATATATATATATACATATATGAATTTGCCTATTTATGATTCACTGTCAGAAAATACTTATTGTACTTTATGTTATTATTGTTATCGATAAACTGTGTACTTACATGAATGCAGAAGAAAATCAAATCAAATCAAATAAAAAAAATTCCTTGCATGGCATACTTCTTATTTTAGACAAAGTGACAGAAAAAAAATGATGGACGATTAAGTCTTAACTGAACTGACAATTGATGATGGAGTGTATTAACTAAAGCTCTGGAAGGAAATCCTACTTTACAGAACTGATCAAAATCTGAAGGATTCTAAATAATTAAATGAGAAAATGAAGTTTTGTAATAATTATAAAATTGATGACGAAAGTGTCATCGATCGCGTTCTTAAGTTTGAAATATCATTGATGGTAAGAGAAGAGTGTTGAAGAATAACATTGAAGCTAATTGGAATGTTGTGGATTTTCTGCTTGAATATGTTGTCTAGGATTGCGTGCCACGATTTTGGTTCGCACAAAGAACACCACTGTTAGTGTACAATAATGTTTCTTCATAGAACTTTATTGCATTAATTTACACTCGAGATGATGGGCAATGAATAGGGGTGGGGATGACCATGATTGTGTTATGCCACATAGTGATGATGAAAGCAGTGGTAGTGTTTGCGAGACTGATTGATAATGATAGTAGTGGTGATGGTGGTGAAAATGATGATTGTAATGATGGTGATGGAGATGTGATGATAGTGCTGATATCGATGGATGGTGATAATAGAGTGAACATTATATTTAAAAAATTTAAAAATCGGTTTAAACAAGACCAACCAAAACATTAATATTTTACAGCTGATTTGGGACTAACAGTCTCAGGCTAGTGCCAGGAGGTTTAGTGGGAGTACTGTGTCAGAGCTATTCCCCTCTATTCGAATAATGCACATCCTTTGTGTTTCAAAAAGTCTTTTCATATTAATAATTTAAATCAATTAAAATAAACTTGATTAAGAGTTTTCTCCAGGATTCGACTTAAAAAGAAGGTAAAAAACATATGCATTTAATCCATCAAACGTCTATATTTTAGTATTTTTTTTACCAGTTAACAATACACAACTGTACAATGTATCAGTGGCGAATCCAGGGGGGGGGGGGGGAGAGATGCATTTTAATAATCCGGCTGCCCCCTCTCCCCACATTTTTCAAATTTGCCGACTGTGCCCCCTATTATTTTCAAATCCTCGATCCACCGCTGATGTATTACAATATTTACAGCACGAATATAGCAGAACATAATTGCAAGTTAAAATAAATAACATTGATTTTATGCTAGCCCTCTCCACTTATAATGCGTAATGATAAAACACGTACACTATTCACTTCATATTTTTATTTTCAAATTACAGCGAGTAGTAGTAGACAAACTTGTTAGGCAGACCAAATAGGTCTATAAACTAAAGTAAACCAAAACTATAGGTTTTCATCTGCAATATTTTTACTAGTGTCACTAAGAGCTTTAATTTGATATGTAGATGACTAAAATGATGACTATGAGTACAGGGGCGGCGATTTCTTTTCATGACCGAGGGGGGGGGGGGGACGAAATGCTAGGGACAGGGAGCAGTGTAGTAATGAGTAAAAACTTTTTTTTTTTGGGGGGGGGGAGGGTGGGCACCAGAAAAAAAATCCGCATCACCACCACTTTAACATGGTACATGCAGGCCCCGCGGAACGTTTTGAAGGGGGAGGGGGCTAAAATGTTTTCGGTCAGGTAGAGCAAATCGAGGGAAGTAAATGGAGCGTAAATTGGCTTGAGGTCAAGTGGCAAACCCTGGCGGGGGTCATGGGGCGGGGTTTTAGGCATGTAATAACGGATAGGTCAGCATCCGGGGCCCGCATAAGGGCCCCGATTGGGGTCCAGGGGGCGGAGCCACCGGAAGCTCAGGGTTTTAAGGCATTTAATAACGGTCAGATAAGCTCGCCTTAGGGCCCCTGTGGGGTTTGGGAGCGGAGCCCCGGAAGCTCAGGGTGTTTAGGCATTTAATTACGGTTCTAGGCATATAATTACGTTGAGATAAGCTCGCCTCAGGGCCCCTCGTGGGGTTAAGGGGGCGGAGCCCCCGGAAGCACAGGGTTTTAAGGCATTTCATTTACGGTCAGATGAGCAACCAGGGGCACTCCTTAGGGCCCTTGGTGGGGTCCAAGGGGCAGAGCCCCCGGAAGTTCAGGGAAAGAATCATGTCGTTCCAGCAACATTTGTAAATCACTGGTATGGAATTAGAAATAAACCACGCTTGAATTTTACTCGGGGGGCAAGCCCCCGCCCCCCATCATTAGTCCAGTGTGAGGGAGTATAGTGAACGAGAGGGGTGACGGTGAAGGAAGTGACTATCCCCTCAAAGCTTTGTTGTATTAACAAATTACATTCCTTAGCAAAACAATAGTATACAACAAGCACTATAACTTTCTCACACTTTCACAATTATGCAAGGGAGCGTAGCTCCCGAAAGAGAAGATTTTTGCATTTTTATTTGTCTAAACGCTGCACTCTCGGGCCTTCCACAGCCTTAAAGTTTGTTGCAGTCTTTAGTCAGTATTTGCTACACATTATTTTGTTGCACTTTTTCAAATTTTCAGGGGGGAGGGGGGGGGGGGGGACGTGTCCCCCCGTCCCCCCGGTATCGCCGCCCCTGTCTGAGTAGCCTACAAAGAACCTGTAAAGAGCAAAATAAACATTTGCAACGTCGTCTGCTATCAAGGGGGCGACCACATTTACACAGTCACATGACAGTGTCACGTGACACCATCAAAAAGCACATAGAACACACGTATACATTAAACAGTGCACCCCTTAACACACAGACAGAGTGCAGTGGGAGCGAATTATAAGGTAGCATAATATATTAGCACGAGCTTTAGTGGAGTCATGAATATTCATTAGTCTCTACGTCACAGACGTAAATACCGTGATGTGAAGGTTGTTATTTTCTTGTGTATCCTTTCAGTGCCGATGTCACATAATCAGGGGCGTAAATCTCGGGGGGGGGGGGATGGGGGATGCATCCCACCTCGCTTGAAGGAGGGGGGGGGTGGCCTGTACAGATATCCCCCCTGAGATTACAAAAAAAAAGAGAGAAAAAAAAAAGGAAGAAGAAGAAGAAAGAAAAAAGTGATTGTTTCAATTTCAGCATAATGCACGAGAAATGAGTTATTTTTTTAATGTATGTATAATTACTGTATAGCCTACACGTATACAGTATGTCTCGATCATTAAGAGTAGTTGCGCGACGTGCGCGAACAAGCACTTCATGAACTTTAGAATAATTTTTCGTTATTTTTCAAGGTATTATTATAGCCCAGACGTAAAATGCGCCAGTGTGCGAGCGCTTAAAAAGTGCAATCGTGTACAGTAGATGCCCGGCTCCCCCCACTCAGTGTTATTTAGGGTACGCGTATGCTCGTTCCCTCCCTTTGAAAGCACCCCCCTATCTCAGGACTGCCAACATTTCTGAATCCCCCTTTCAATGGCGGGGGGGGGGGGTTAAAAATGAATTCAGACAAGGATTAACAGTCGAGAACGGTACAGCAAATCGTCTTCTTTTTATAATAATTTAATGAAACGCCAAAGCTTCCGCGCTTCGCGCGGGAGAGAGAGGGAGAAACTGAATTCATACAAAGATTAAGAGTTGACCACGGTTCAACGAATTGTCTACTTTCTCTAATAATTTAATGAAACGCCAAAACTTCCGCGCGGGAGGGGGGAGGGGGGGGGGGGAATGAATTCAGACAAGGATTAACAGTCGAGAACGGTACAACAAATCGTCTTCTTTTTATAATAATTTACTGAAACGCCAAAGCTTTCGTGCTTCGCGCGGGAGGGGGGAAAATTCATATAGACAAGGTTAACAGTCGAGAACGGTACAAAAAACCGTCTTCTCTTCCTAATAATTTAAGGAAACGTCTAAGCTCCCGCGCTTCGCTCGGTAGGCCTATCACCCACACCCCTAATAAGCGCGCTTCGCGCGCTTTTTGAGTGATCCGCCTTCTCACTACCGCCCCTCCCTAAAATGAGA